CAGCCGGGAGAAACAGTTTACCGAGGGTGCCAGACAGAATCGCCATGACGCTTTCACTTTGGCTGGGTTTACTAGGTTCTTAGCTTAAGGCCTCAGTTCAGAGGTCACTGAAGCTATGTCTGGACTTTTCTTAGGCATCGATGTTACTACCTTTGTATCCTTTATGAACGTTCCTGGGGTCACTGGTCTTTTTTTACCTCTGCCATTCCATCAACTTTACCAATGTTCTGGTAGACTGACGATCGCATGCATCGCTTCCACTAACTTTCTCACTCCATCTGGCGGACCAACACTTCATTTGGCGAACTATGCGTTCCTACGATCACTGTTCATACGGCCTTCATCACTCTGTGTACAATGTGTACGTTCCTGTAGGTTGACTGACATCTCCATGCCACAAACCTCCTACATTCAGCACTTCTTCAGTGCTGTCATGGTAGCTTGGCTACTCGAATGTATCCTATCATCAGTGGCAATAGTTGCTAGGCCTTCTGACGTCAGCTTAAGCCCCAACGTACAGAGGCCATCTCCAACTTCAACAGATACTGCGATTCTACTCTCGTATCTCGAGGTTGATAACTGAACCCAAAGGAATTGTTTCGCCTTCCAGAACTACTTCGTCCAATCCTTCAGGGTGGCCCGACGAACGGAAGGTCTGCGCTGGAGTTTTTTCTTGGTAGCCCTAGCACTCTCGCAACTCAGGACTCTTTGTCAGTGGCAAGAACTTCTGGGTCTGTTGACGTCAGCTCAAGCTTTGACTCTCAGGGGATAGCTTCAACTACGGCCTTTCCACATTTTTTTCTGGGTCAGCACATCAGGATTGGCGCCCCTCACGCATTGATCTCTCTTCCTCCAGCGCTCCATCTCTATCTCCAGTGGTGGTCTGATGGGTTGAATATTTACAGTGGAGTCTCTTTAAGGCCGTTTGCTCCAGTACATCGCCTGTACGTAGTCACCTTTCTACACGGATGGGGAGCTCACTTTCTCAATCAGCAAGTGGCAGGGTTGTGGTCTCCCGCAGACCGCACATGTCACATCAACTTTTGGAGCTCAGGGCAGTGATTCTTGCGATCACTCATTGGCATCACCTGTTACAATCAACCAAGCTTTTGTTTCGATCGGACTATGCTGTGATCGTGTGGGATCGAATGGGATCCACGGGGTCTCCTCAGCTTCTTTAGTGGACACAACAGTTTTTTCCACTTTGTGGACTCTTTCAACATCACGGTCCAGGCCAATCACATCCCAGGGTTGAAGTACGTCATTGCAGATGCTTTGTCCCGTCCGGTTCGTCCATACCCGATGGGGTGCAAACTGCATCCGCAGGTGTTCGAGACTCTGTGCCTTCCAATGTCTAACCTGACAGTGGATCTGTTTGCTTCCCGCTTCCATCACCTGCTTCCAATATTCGTTTCCCAGATCCCGGATTTATTGGCCTGGGAACACGATGTTCTAGCCATCCCTGGGATGACTTGAACGCGTATGCGTTTTCACCAGTGGCGCTACTTCCACGCATACTGCTCAAGTTACGCACGGCGCTGCGGTTGACACTGATTTTGGGTCACACCGTTTTGGCTCGTTAGTTTGTTCCTAACCTGCAAGACTTGGCCGACCCATTCCAGTACCACTTCCCGTCACGCCGATATTATGGTTCATCTTCATTCCGATCAGCTGCATGGTCTCTGCTCACACATAATTTTCACACCTGGTGCCTTTACTTGAATCGCTAACTGCAAAGGGATATTCCAAGCAAGTCGCTGTGGCGATTACCACGGCGCATTGAACTTCTACCAGGCCTCTCTGTGATGACTATGGAAGTATTTTGAAGCATTCTGCTAGACGAAGGGTATTATGGTCGCGGGAGTACCTCCAGCATGCTTGGACTTCCAAGGAATTGACGGGTTCCACCTTGTCTACATACCTGGCCATGCGTTACACAGTTATTGCGCCGGCTACGGGTGCAAAGGTGTCAACTGTCCCTGAGCTTCAGTCTCTCCTTAGATCTTACAAGTTGCTGATCAATCCCTTTACATGGTTTTTTAATCATCTCATGTCAGAGGAGTATGAACCTCTGGCAGAGAAGGGTTTCAAGCATGTCACATTTAAGTCTTTCTTCCTCCTGGCTCTTGCGACTGCTGCCTGCATCTCCAAGTTTCACGCACTGGATGTCTCCCAGTTGCGTTTCCAGAGGACCAGACATGTCAAAGCCCTCCCTGGTTGAAGTGGGATCTCTTGCCTGGACAGCCGGACAGACTATTCGCCTTCCCGCCTCTGTCTTCTATTTTGGGCCCTGACGACACCGAGAATCTTTCCCTATGTCCTTTTAACTGCCTCCATGGACCGTCATAGGTTACGCAAGAGACTGTTTATTTCTCTGTCATCTGCCTCATCTACAGAAGTCTCTTGTACCACACTGACCTTCGGGATGCGATCTACCATCCTTCATGCCTACGCCTGTGTCGACCTTCCTCTTCCTACTACGGCTAAAACCCTCATGAGACAAGAGCCTTGACCTCTACGATGGCACGACATAGAACTGTTTCCTTCAAGGCATCATGGAGGGTTGTTTTTTAAGTTTGGACTCGGTCTTCGTCTCACCCTACCATACCATGACTCGATAGACTGAGAGGCCAGTCTTGTGCTACATGAAGAGGTGGTCGACACTCCGCTTACTGACCTCTACTCTCTGAGCAATTAAGTCAGTGAAGTGTTGATTTCCGATTACCTGCGTGATTTTCGAAGCATTCCGCTCCTAAGTCCTTTCTCACCTTTGATAAGTTAGGGGGATTGGTACTGAACGTTAAACTAGTTGAGCAACTGGGCAATTCCTTCATTTCTTCAATTCTTTCACTGCCTTCCAGCATGTGTCTGTGGGGGGTAGTTTCGAAGCAGGGACTGGCCAGATTAAGATCCTCGACGTTAATTCACTGGGGTCACCTGATAAATCGCGGGGCGGCGGGGCCTACTCGCCAAACTGTGTCCTTTTGCTTGTCAAAAGTTGCGGCTGAAAACCACATTAATTCTGGATCGCCCACTCCCTAGAGTTTTTGTGCTGTGTAAGCCAAGGGGTTATCTGAAGCAACCCATCTCAAGTTTGGAGTTTGCATATCGGGAGTTGGTGCTTTCTCCTGGCCTCCTAGGGTAATGCGTCTTCACGGTTGTAAGTATTGACAGGGTAATCTGCGGCCCTCCTGCCAACCGTGGGATTATGCATACCGTGAGATAGGATAAGTGTAAAAATTTGAAAATTTTACCATAGATTGTATATTTATATACTTATCCTATCTCACGCGATGGATACCCACCTGACCTGCCCCACATCACAGATTACTGGAAGCTCCAAGACGAGAATGACGGTATCTACCCATAAGACAGACCTCCCAAAAGACAGACCGCTTAAAACAACACATTTTATGGTTGGTTGCATAAGGCTTAATTAAGCTGTACCCTTGATAATAATGGTATGTGCCCAGATAAAAAACCACAACATTAGGCATTAAATATAGTTTTATCAATTCATGTTATCAATTATGATTTTTGAATTAAGACGTATTGCATCAACATATATGTTCATATATATTTGGCAGATCACATTTACTTGTGAATATTATAAAAAATAATCATTTATATACATGCACCTATCAAACATATGAGACCAAGCACCATATTATTTTACATCACATGTTTGTCAGGGCACAGATAACACTTATCAGAAAGTCACTTGAACATCATCATTTTCTCCTTTCACCTTGTTCTTGGCATACAGGAAGCCATCTAGAAGGGTGATCAGAAAAAATGTCATAGGAAAACAGTCATGTGAAAAATAACTATTAGAAAATATCCTGTTCTCCAGTTATATACTTTGTTTATACTGAGTTTTATAAATACTATTTCACTTTCATCTTCAAATAATCTTAAGTACTAAAAACATCCTGTTCTCCAGTTATTTGAAAAAACTAACTCAACAACTGTTATAAAAACCTCTTCTCCAGATATTTATACTTTTATGATCTTGAGTGTTTTCTTTATGAACATGATGTAACTGGCCTCGAACATGTAAATAAGCTTATTGAGGTGAGCTTATGCATAGCATGAAGTTAGATGTCTGTGATGAAATTCATTTTTTATTAATTCTGTAAACATCCTACTATTGAAAAAATTGTTTATCTAATGAAAAGTGATTATTCACCGTTTAACTCTAAAGTTGCCAAATTTATCAAAACTGGTCTTTGTTCAATGTTATAATATGTATCAATATGCTGTATGTTCTCTGTGTCACTATATGTGATTTTTGAGAATACAATTTCGGTTCTATTCTGTTCTGTTCAGTAAAAGTATTGGTAATATGTTTTGAGAAGGGCACAGGAGATAGGAGTGTGTTGTTACTATACGTACCCTGTCGTGACTCTGGGTCAGCTCATTAATTAAATAGGGGTGGGCAGCATTGCTCAGCTAATTAGTGTACTCATTGAGTCTGTCTTATGGGAGGTCTGTCTTTTGGGAGTGAACCAGAATGACAGGCACAGACCGTCACGTGATCATCTGAGCGATCTGCACGCTTATTGAAATGATTGACAGGTACTGCTATCGGAGTAGGGGCAGAGATCGGGGGGTCAGAGGCCAGATAACTTTTGATTCAACTTAGCCTACAGCACGTTTCCACACATGGTCGTAGAAGAAGAAGAGAGGTGCATACCGTGAGATAGGATAAGTATATAAATATACAATTTATAGTAAAATTTTCAAAATCAGCATAAGTCTGGGCCAATACAAGCAGCCGCACATACACATACACACGCATACACGTCGTCATATGAGCAAAATATTCTCAAGCACGACGTTAAACCCTACAGATTCATCCATTTGTTAAAACCCCAACCACAATTGTGTCAGGAAAATAATCTGATCATGAAAGTTATTTTCTTCTTGTGAATAATTTTGCATTTCAGCCAAGGTCTTTTTTCTTCTTCTTGAAAGTGACATTTTTTTCTTAATTTCAGCATATCCCTCCTGTCCGCAATACCGTAGAAAAGAAAAAACAGAAGAAAAAGAAGAAAATGACAGTTAAAAGAGAACAAGAACCAACACGAATCAGCAGCTATGACTATCATTCATGGGACAAGTTTGATGTTGTAAGTCCATTTTCTATGTTATTTGAAGACAGTGTTTAGTATGTACTAATTCTTGATAATACAAAATACTAAACAGGTGCCATAATTCTTGTATTTTGGCAGCAAATTTTTCTTTCAACTCATCCAGCCATCATCCGGGACAGCTATCAGGAATCACCCTGGATAAAAAGGTTAATGGGATAAATCCCCCCTGTACCTAACAATAGGATTTTCAGTAAATATAACGTGATATTTTTAAACTTATCGTATCTCTTTTATTCGACTGTTGAGTGGAAACAAACTGTAAACAAAAGTTTCTGGCCTCTCTGGAACCCTTCACCCGAAAACTCACCCCTGGTCCCGCTTCTGGACAGCCTGGCAGTGCTCCTGAGAAGCATGCAGCCTGCTCTCTGGTTGGTCATGTGACTTCCCTTCCGATCGCTGATCCTTCTACCTTCGGCGCTTCATCACCACCTGCAGTGGTGGCTCGACAAGTTGAATGTTTGCGGAGGGGTCTCCTTGATGCCATTCACTCCCACTCATCATCTCTACGTAGAGGCGTCTCTACAAGGATGGGGTGCTCATCTTCAAGATCTGTGGTCATCCGACGAGCAGTCCTTCCACATCAACGAACTGGAGTTCAAGGCAGTCATCTTGGCTCAGGTCAACCAACCTTCTCATACGATCGGACAACTCAACATTGATGTGGTACATCAATCACCTGGGTTCAACAGGATCGTTGCACCTTCTCCACTGGGCTCTAACGTTCTTCCAACAGATCGACTTATTGGCCATCACTGCCAGAGCAGGTCACATTCCGGGAGTGAAGAACGTGATTACCTACTCTCTGTCCTTTTCAGTTCGCCCATCTCTGATAGAATGGAAGCTGCATCCACAGGATCTTCAAGACAATCTACCTTCCGATAACCAGCCCAGAGATAGATCTGCTTGTGACCAGATTCAACAACCAACTCCCCAGGTTTGTTTCACCAATCCCAGACGCCTTCACTTGGGATCACGATGCCCTAGTGATCTCTTGGGTCATCGAATACTACAGAAGCTACGGTCCACCAACAGGATAACCCTGGTTTTGGTCGCGCCTTACTGTGCGGCTAGGAGTTGGTTCATCTATCTGCTCAGCCAATCCAGACCCAGTACCTCTACCAAACCGAGACGATCTGCTGGTCCATCCATACTCAGATCAACTCCACAGGTTTCTGCAGACGTACCATCTTCACATCTGGCACATCTCCAGAGATCTTTGATTGCCAAGGGTTACTCAAGGAGAGTGGCGTCTGCTATTACTGCGGCTCATCTAACTTCTACACACGATCCCTATATGATGATAAGTGGAAGAAGTTCGAAGATTATTGCAGGTTGAAGGGCATTACATTGCCCAGGTTCTGCCCAGGTTGTTGCTGACTATATCCAATACCTACATATGTCTAGGAGATTAAAAGGGTCTACACTTGCCACGTATTTTGTAGCCATCAATATGGTGAAAGCCATGCCAGGAGCACTGAGATAGTAATAGTAATATTAATTGTCGGCTTATATAGTGCTCATATCTAGGCACATTGCAGGCGCGTAGGAGGCCAATTTTTTCGTGTAGGCCCGATAGGTTGCAAAGCTTTATATTAGATAGTATTGAGGGCTTACCCAGCCTTCTTAGCAATAATCATGTGTAAGCCCCGGGCTTTTTTTCACAATGGTAGCTACGCCCCTGCATTGCCTACTCACGACACTGTTGTGCTCTTGCAAGTTGGCTGATTAATCTAAATGGTTTTGGCCTCCAGCTTGGGAAATCTCCATTACACTTCGATATCTCATCTCCATTGACTACGAGCCTCGAGATGAGAAAAGTTTTGAGTGCATTAACTTTAAGATCTTTTTCCTGGTAGCCTTACCTACTTCGGCGGGCATTTTGGAACTCCACACTTTGGACGTCAACTGTGTACGTTTTGAACGAAAAAGGCATGGCAGAGTTTTTTCTGGGTCTCCGTTGGGATTTCATTGCGAAGAACCAACTGCCAGGACAACCAGATAAACTGTTTACCCTACCTGTGTTGTCCACTACCCTCTGGCCAATCACATCAAAGACCTCATGCTGTCAGAATCTACACTGCTGCGTCTCAAGACCATCGTAGGTTGTGTAAGCGCCTCTTCATCCTGCTCTCTACAGCTTTATCAGCGGAAGTCTCTCATACGACACTCGCCTTCTGGATGAGATCTATCACCTTACCGGTCACCGGTCTGCCTCCACCTGCTACGTCGAACCCTTAGAGACTCAGGCTTTGGCATCTACTACGGTGCTTCACAGCAACTGTTCCCTGACTTCCATCATGGGGGGATGTTTTTGGAAGTCACAGATGGTCTTCGCTTCCCACTACTTACGCGACCTGTCAGTCACCAATGTTGATGGACTTCATCAGTTCGGTATTGACGCAGCAACTATCATCGGCTGGAGTACGCAAATAGAGTGACATTCTTTTGCTTGCGAAGATTGTGTTATATTGTACAGAGTGAATAAAGATATATGGAAGTCCATTTGATTTTCATTCTACCTTCTTCTGGGAATTAGATCTACCTCACCTTGTTCTACACTTGGGCGTCGCAGTACAAGTCACTTGTGTGATTTATCTTGGCTGTGATTCATCTAAGCCTCTACTCTTACGAGCTATCAGGTCAGTGAAGCATGGATACTACTTCTCAGTGGATTTTGACGCTTTCTGCTCCAAGTTCCCAGACACATCAATCATCATGAGTGAGGATCACTCGATGTTGTCAGGTCCAACTGTGGGATAAGTACACTCCATGAGTTAGGATAAGTATTATAAATATACAATTTATAGTTAAAGTTTTCAAATTTCAAAAGAACATTTTAAAGAACGAATAAACTTTTGGTTTTTTTGTACTCTTTACCATTACATATAAAAGACTTGTGGTTAGTCTTAACACCAAATTCATTCTTAAAAAACTTATGGTTAATTAATATCGAGCGATTAAAAGTTGCCAAAAAGTCATCGGCTTAACTTTCGCCTGCCAACGAAACAGGAGACAGGTTACGTAACTCTGTCGCCAGAGCACTGCAGCGAACCAGAAGTGACGTTATATGAGGAAGGATTTTCAGTTTCTCGACGTCAACGAAGACATGCCAACAGGTAACCGTTATGACAACAAGCGATTTTGACAGAATCGTCCATGGAAACAAGTTGTAACTCGGAAGCTAGGCAAAGCAGGTGACAAGATTAAATGACAGTAGATTGTAAAAACATGAAGCTTTCATTTTTCACAACAATTGTCACGATTTCAGGTTTAGACAAACCTGTAAACAAGATAATTTACCCCCGGAAATGTACATGAATTCTACAGCACTCTTCAGATGCATACCTCACATTACGTCACAGAGACACGCCCATCTGATTGGTTCAAATTTTGTACACGGGAGAGAATTGTGCACTGTTGTCAAAATGGTCGATGTAAGTTAAGTAAATGTCGAAATGAGTATATTTAATGACAGGGTTTCATTTATAACGATGCCAATAAATGATTTATGTATTCGTACCCCGTAGAGTATATGTTATCTTTAATAAAACATAACAGACATTCTATCAGAAAAAGGTTTCATGCATCAACATCTTTGATTATCAGACCACATGGGTACAATGTGTGAAGCCCATTTTCTGGTGTCCCCTGTCATGATATTACTGGAATACTGCTAAAAGCAGCATAAAACCATACTCACTCAACTCAATTAATTATCAGAATTGTGATTGCAGCAAAAGACACAGAACAACATTCTGTTATTGTTATGACATATTGTAATATACCCCTGTGTAAAAACATTTGAAATTCATCGACTGTGACATCCATTACGACTTCCGATTTGTCAAAAAAAAGCTTCTTACACACCAGTGGCAATTTTGAGAAAATAGATATTACAACAACAAAAAAAACTTTAGTTGATACCAATAAACAGGGATGAGAATTTTCCGCGGATCCGCGTAATTCCAGGAATTTGTTCAGAATGTGCTTCAGGAGATTTAAAGTTTTTTTATGGTTGCTGTGTTCATGATATTGTCATTTCTGAGCCAGTTTTAAAGGTCTAAAATGCCTACATATCAGGAGCTTCGGGGGGCTTCACCCCCCTTGTCCCTTCACCAGGTGCCGCCCCGGACCCGGCTAGTTTTCAGATCCCCAGCTATCAATGGTAGTTTACCAACTCTTGCATATCTTACTAGATATGTGCGATGCCACACATGCTTACGGTTGCATCAAGGATGTATACAATTACAAATATTGTGATTTTTTTTTCATCATCTGCATTATTTAGCTTTTGAATTGTTTTGTTCAGGTGTAAATAAGTTCGGATTCTGCTTTTGAGCGTGTATTTTCAAACATTTATCTTGTCTTGTCACCTAAAAAAATAGCAAGTTAGGCCATGCCCTCACGTGTCACTGCTGTCAAGAATGTAATATAAAATGATCATACCAGACCCAGATGTAAAAACTTAACGTAAAATATAACGCAATATGTAAAAGATTAACGCCAAATGTAAAAAATGTCTTTAACGCAATATGTAAACACCTAATGCTAAATGTAAAAACAATTTTTAACGCAATTTGTAAAAGATTAACGGAATCTGTAACAGCTGTATTGTTGTTTATTGTTTTGTCGAATGAAATTCATTTTTTCAGAAACTTTACTTTATTGTTTTTCAAAATAACTAAGCTATTGCAATATTTCTGACAAAATTAACCTCATTTCTAACTTAATTTATATCTGATCTTTTGGGTCGTTTAACATCAAAGTAAAGCCGAAAAATTGTGTAATATACATGTACAGTCAGCTCTCGTTAATCCGACACTCATTAATCCGACAATCACGTTAATCCGACATGAAATTAGGGAACCATTTAAAACAGTGATAATTACTCTCGTTAATCCGACATTCTCGCATTCTGACTCCGACACACCAATCTAGCAACCGATCATTGTAAATACATTGTAAAAACATTCGTT